CACGATGAGAAATGCAATTCTCTATGATGAAACATGGTTTTCAGATTGTTCTCGTATCTATTCGTCTATCATACTGAGAAAGAATACAATCGAAACATCATTCAGCCAAACAAAGTCAAATAGGGACAAAATCTAAAGAAAGATCAATAAACGAAAATTAATAAAGACTTGTAATATGACTAATTACTCAATTAGTTTTTAGATATGAGGACGATTAATAGTGTACTTTACAAAAATAATTAAAGAAATTTAATTGAATGTACAAAATTTGTTTTTCTTATTTCAATTTACGAAAGTACATAATTTCTTATTGCTTCGATGTTTTTGTTATAATTAGAAATGTATATGATATTCTCAAAAAGCTGACAAAGGATTACAGAACATCTGTTTTAGATTTGGAAATGTTAAATTTGATGCCATAGAATTTTTTCAATATAAACATCACAATCTTGAATTTTTAACATTCATAATAAGCAATTGTCGGAATGATTGAGAAAAATATGATGCTTTTTAGTTATTGAACAGCATGAAAGATTTTGTATATCTATGAAAGACGAGAGTTTTTACAGTATTTATGGTTTATTTTATTTCTATTTAAAGCGAGTGTGTAATAATACATAAAGAGATACATACAAAGATGATTTTTATCAGTTCGATAAAAATCTTCAAAATCAGAGTTTTTTTTTTAATTTTATGTATGTAATCACACGTAGCCAATAATTGAGAGCTCATTGTTTTTTTTTCCTCTGTACTCAGTTCGATCAACTCTATATGAACGAACGGACAAAATTGATTCATCCATTCATGAGCAATCTTGACTAGAATTCAATATTTATAATATTTATAATGTAACAGTTCAACATTGTCATCGTGGACGGCAAAAAAAAAAACATGTATAATGATTGAACTTTATCGACACTCAACTATATATTTTTTGTTGGCTATTATGACAATTCTACATTAGAAAAAGCATGAATAATTCCATTGCTAGGATTGTTGATCTACCTGATGAAATTTTGGTTACTATTTTCAAAAAACTACATAGTTTTGATGTATTATATTCACTTGTGGATGTTAATAAAAAACTCGATAAAGTGGCATGTGATGTTACTTTCACTCGATCTATTGATCTAACGACGATATCATTAGATAAAGCGGATGATTCAAGAATTAATGCTATACTTGATCGATTTTGTATGGGCATATTACCTCGAATTCAAAAGAAGATGGAATGTCTTGCTATTCAAGCATGTTTCTTACAACGTGTTTATCATGCTAGCGATTATCTTAACTTACGCAGCTTTACTATCGTCAATCTTGAACTCAAAATGACTCCTAATATTTTCTTTAGTATGTCACTTGATCACTCAATGTTTAATGAATAGGACAATTTCTTATGTTTGTTGTATATTTTTAGAAAAGTCTTCATTTATTCACGCCTTCAAAGACCAGATTACACATCTAAGTGTAAAAATTAGTGATGAAATTTCGAATGAATTAAGGCTGAAATTACTAACTAATATTTATAATTGTATTTTCGTCGTGATAACAAACCTAAAATATTTGGATTTGAATGTCAATGACAATTATTTCTTTCGACGATCATTACTTAGCGATTTATCTTATACTATATTTTCTTCATCCAGTATTGTTCATTTAAATATTAAAATGAACAATTTTGACGATTATCGTTATCTACTTGATGATCGTCTTACTCAATTACATACATTTATTGTCAATCTTGATTACATATATGATCCAGTATTGATGAGAATTAATCCATCAAAAAATCAGAAAGATTTCATCAAATATCAAAATTAATACGGTAAAAAACTATGTAATTAGATTGAAATTCCTATAGAAAGTTGCTCTTTCATCGTCTAGTCATTGATTTCCTCGAGCAAATACGAAAATTAACTGTTATCTATTTTTCACTTAAGATGCGATGCAAAAGTGTTGGCAAAAACGTCAAACTCTGTTAGTCCATCTTGATGATTTTCAAACCAAGGAATTTTTTTTTTTGTTAGAGAAAGCAATGTCTCAGCTACAATGGCATCCCTCAGATATAAAGAATGAAACTGATTTCTCTGTCTTCCATTAGTTAAACAACTGAAAATAAAATTAAAGGTGATTGTCTTCATTATTCATCAAATACAAACCAAGATACAACAGTTTTTTTTTCTATCAAAGGTAATCTTATCTAAACACAATGTTATTCAAGTTCTAGTTCGAAACCAAAACGATTTAAAATAACTTGAAATTGTACTAATTCATATCCGGATAATATTAATGTACCATTTGTCAAATGTCCCGTTTTACTTATCTCAAGCAATTCTTTACCATTGACATTGTATTGATACCATGTTTCAGCTAAATCATGAAATCATGTCTGTCCAACCCAATTTTTAACATCATCAACTGTTAACTGTTTTATTAAATCTTTGCCTGATTCTGAACACGATTCACTTGAAGAAGGTGTAGATGGTGCAGATTCAGGAGGCGTTCTCGAGCTTCCATTTGGTTGATCTACAAAAAAA